ATCGTCGCGTCTCCTGCACGGTGGCCATTTGTCCCCTCGGATTCACGGGATTATGTAACGAGGAGACTGCGGGGGTGGGAGAGGATGAGCACGCATGCATCGAGTTATTATTCAAAATCACCGGCAGGAATTTCACACAACACTTACAACTTCGCACTCGGAAGTTTGGACGGTTCGAATTTTAAAGTGCAGCTGTGACTCTCTGCGTGAAACTTTAAAGTTCATTCATTGCTGTATTTTTCGAGTTTAGGCCCCCCTCCATGTACTGCCGTGCTCAGTATACATGCCGTGTGAGCGTTCGAATGTTGCCTTTCCTGTCAGAAAATATTTATTTTAAAAGAAAGTAATGAATATTTTTCTTTGAAATTTTCAGACTTTTAAGATAAAAATAAGAACAAAATCCTCTCAAAAATCGATAGCAAAATGTTCACAAATTTTTCCCATCTACTTACATTCAAATTTTTGTACGCGAATACATTTTTCATGTGAGTCAGTTCGGAACTTTGCCGAGAACCCCTCTCCCCCCCTCTCTCCCCCCTCTCCCCCCTTTCTCTCCCTTCCCCTCTCTCCCCGTCTCATGAAACTTGGACCCTCCTTACCCTTACCCTCCAGGGGCACCAACCCCCAAGACTCGGTTATTGCTTCATGGTACGCACCATACAAGAGGGTTTGCCATTCTAAGGAAAATCACTAAATGGACATGCAAATGCTGTCCTTCTCTTGGTGAAAAAATTATGTTCCAGAAAAGTTAAACATCTTTTTCATTAAAATTTTTAAGACACATTAGATAACCTCGTGATTGAAATTTTGTGAAAAATCCAAAAAACATAAGTCCAAATTATGAAGATAACCAAGTTTTTATCACCAGAAATTTGGAAATGTTTGATAACCACACGACGCTTTTCTACACTGCCGTGCTAAGGAAAGAGAAACGCCGTATAAGCCATTATGCCTTGCCAAATTTCCTTTGATAAATCACGAATTTTCGGGGAAATAACTGATTAATGTGAGCCTTGGGGCAACCGTGATTTTAACTCCATTTCCCGTTTCCATTTTAAAATCTATGAATATTTATCTTTCAATTTTCCAAAAATTGTGTCGGTAATTTGATCGAAACTATCCAAAAATTTCAAGGTAAAATATGCATAACTTTCTTCGAAATGATTCTTTCCTGAGAGGCAATTTGGCAACACTCGATTGCTCATACGGCGTTTTTACTTAGCACGGCAGCATAGCATAGCAGAGGTCTGCGTTACATTCTGCCGTGCTAAGACAAAAACGCCGTATGAACATTCGAGAGTTGCCAAATTTCCCCGCCTAAAACGTGTATTTTTGATGAAAGTTATGCGTAGTCCTCCTTGAAATTTTCAAAAGATTTAAATTAAATGTGAACAAAATTTTCTGAAGAAGTTGGAAAAAAAGTATTGACAATTTACCCAGTAAATTCGATTTTTATTAACGGAAATATGGCAATGTCTGAAGGTTCATACGGCCTTTTTCCTTAGTACGGCAGCATTTTTGTATGTATTTCCACGCACAATAAGGGGGAAGCGCATCGAGCCAAAATATGCACGCTGCAATGTTGCATCTCTCCTGATTATACAACCGCTGCGCGGTGAATGACCGATAATAGTGGATTCCAAGCATGTTTCCAATGATAAATTACAGTACTTAGTTGCGATTTCAAGGACCGAGATAATTTGAATGGTTCTTACAGTGAGTAAACTGAAAAAGATGAAAACAAGAAGCACTTAAAAAATTGCTTGAACTTATCACCTGTCACAACCGATTAAAGCTCTCTAAGAAGGATGGGGTATTTTCTTATCCTTCGAAATTCACGCTCCCTTGAGAGAGCTAGTAGCCAGTGGCGAGACGTGAGTGATCGATTATCGATATCTCCCCATCTGAAGCTGTGGTAAAGAATCGATTATTAAGGGTTCGTCGCAAGCACCCTGTTTATCGATCCTTTTCCATAGGATTAAATGGCAGATCGATCTATATATCGCAAAGCACACCTCGCCACTGCTAGCATCTCGGAGATTAGCGATGATGGACTCTTAGTGAAACAAGGGTTTTGCATAATTGAACGAATTTAAATCAAAAGAAACTATATCAATTCTAACATGAGCCCCAGGGTCCATAAGAATACATGCATAGCAGGGCTCATGTCACAATGGATATAGCTCTTTTTGATTTAAATGTGCCCAATTATGGCAATAGCTAAACTCCGAAAAAATTCATCTCTATTAAAGCCACTGTGGACTCTCCGTCAAGGTTTACTTTTTAGTTGAGAGACTAATCAACATAATTCTTTGAAATGTCCGTTCGTTTTCTTCTCTGTTCGAAGAATATTTCAAAAAAATTTACAACAATAGTTGCATCTCGCTTCCTTTCGGAAAATTAACATAGCAAAAATTTTGATAACTGAAATTGAGCGTGGTTTCTGAAATTGAGGAGCGTGGTTTCTGAATTTAGGTGGCAATGCGATCTTTCCTTCACTTTTTTGACATTTGGACCACGTTTAGCAGAAAGGAACCAAGCCAAATTTAATTGGACAATTTAATTTTTCCAAGAGAATCGTTTGTGCGGATTCCTTTGAAATTCATAAGGAATTTGCTACGGACCATGCAAAAAATTCGATGAAATTTGCACAAAAATCTGCACGATCGTTTTTATGTTAAAAATTCAATTGCCCGATTAAATTTGGCAATAGCTGATGTGGCTTGGTTCCTTTCTGCTTAACGTGGTCCATTTTTTTTTAAAGTGTTTCAAGTCGAAACTATTTTTAATGACGTAACAACTTACATTTTTCCATTTGCCTCATCAGGTTCATGGCGACGGAAGCGTACTCAAATTTAACAAACACGATGAAATACTACGGAGACACATACTACCCTGGAGCTCACTTCACATTCAATTTCGGACCAATCACTGGACTATCTGCTCAATCAAACGCAAAGAAATTCAAAGAAGTGATCGAAAACTGGTACAGATATCTTCCAGAAGGCAAATGGTCTAACTGGGTGGTAAGTTGCCTCCGAATCCTCTTTCTGCTACGCACGGTGGATCGAGTCAATAGGAGATGTCGGACAAAATTTGGAAAATTTAAACGCTTATAACTCCGTTTATACAAAACTGAAAGTTCTGAAAGTAGTTCCATTAGTTTTCCCGTGAAATTTTCTTCTAGCACGTAGCACCCCTTGAACTTCAAAATGTGACGAAATAAACATCAAAATTCGCAGTTTCTGTCAAAAATTTCATGTCCGACCTTTTTAATTGACTCAATCAACTGTGCTACGTCTGAAGTACATCTGAGGGGCTTAAAGGACACGATATAGAAGTACAGTTTTTGAAAAAATTGAGATATTAATAATTCGACGAAAAAAAAAGCTTAGAATATTGAGAAAATCATTGATAAAATCCAACTCTTAAGTACCACAAAGTAAGTTTGAACTTTTTCTCGGCCAAAAGGTTCCATGTAATTTTGAACCTTCAAAAAAGTTGAACTATTCTCCCGTGCTAAGGGAAAACGCCGTATAAACATTCGAATGCTGCCAAATTGTCTTCCAGAAAATATCAATTTTCAAAGAAAGTTATGAATATTTTTCCTTGAAATTTTCAGACTTTTTAGCTCAATTTACGAACGATATCCTTCGAAAGATCTGAGGATAAATACTCCGAAATTTTCCTGGAAAATTGTGATTTGTCGAGGGGAATTTGGCATCGCCTGATGGCTCATACGGCGTTCTTTCTTAGCACGGCACTATTAGGAGGTTATTAGTTCACATCATTTCTCGGTATAGTGGTGGCAGTGGTGGATTGTAGAAGTTGACAATACTGGGTTTCCACCATTTAAATCGATAAAAAATATTGAACTTATGCGAGGCATACTACCTCACTTAGAATGGATTGTTTTACATACATCCATTTGCAGGAAAAAGTGTTGCCACTTTGCAAAACTTGGCACTAAGCGGCAAATTAGCTTTCCGAGAAGGTGCGCATGTAATTTCAGTGCATTCCGAAAACCTGTCTTGAATTCAGGCTAAAGTCTCATCATGAGTTTTCATTACAGCCAATAAATGTCGATGGAATTCCCTGGTTTCGGAAAAAAGGAAATAAGGGCCCATTTATCAAGAGACTCTTTAGTTTCAATCGAATAAATGGACGTACTTCTGCCAAACGGAACCATGAGCATTAAGACATGAGCCCTGGGACCCATAAGGACATATGCATAACAGGGCTCACTTCATAATGCACATAATTCCGTTAGGCAGAAATACGTCCAAATGATGAACGTGTCTGATTGGTTTGTTCCAGCTCGGAAATCACGACCAACAACGCGTGGCCTCTCGCTACGGCATCGACATGTTGGACGGACTGCACATGCTTCAAATGTGCCTTCACGGTACCTCCGTGTCGTATTCGGGTGATGAGATCGGAATGACCGGTCCCTTCATCCGGTGGGACCAGACCAAGGATCCCCCAGCCCTCAACGTTGGACCTGAACGGTATCTGAGATTTACCAGGGATCCCGCCAGGACTCCCTTCCAGTGGGCCTCATGCACCAGTGCAGGTAAATTGTCTTCAAATTTCAAAGACTAAAGAGGTCCAAATCGTCACTTTCCCGTCAAAATATCACAAGCGCCTGTTACATATAGACGTTATGTTGTCAGACATCTCAAAATTGTTTTAATTTTTCCTTTATATCTTTTTCAGACACTTTCACAGGAATTAATCTCGAAGAAATATTAGGTGAAATTTTCGAGTGATTAAATCCATCAGTTTTGTCTGTAAAAAATTCGACAAATTCGAAAAGATTCCCAACATAGTACCTAAGCACAAACAGCGCTTATGTTACTTTGGATGGAAGGTGATGCAATAAGTCCAGTGTGAATCTACATCGTTTATTACAGAAAACCACACACCGAGAGAAAAAATAACGCAAAAATTCAGTTAATATTGGAAATTATCCATGAAAGTACCTATCCAAGTCCCAGGTTGCGTCTTTGGTGTCTCGGCTTTTCAGTAATAGATTTTTCGGGCTAAAAACACAAAACGCATCAAAATTAACACGATGTGTTGGTTGGTTTGTAGCTTACCTTCATTGAGCAGTGTCGCAAACCTCTGATTTGCCACGTTAGGAGCAAACATGTCATACATAAAGTCTACGTCGAGAAGAGAATTCTTGATTGTATTGGAAAACATTCATTTTGTAGAAAACCAATTTTAGAAAGTATCAACGCACGTCATTTAATAATTTAAGTGAAACTCATGGTACTGCAAACCACATTATTAGTTGTTTTAACCAACACTGCTTGGATAGTGCGCCATTTCTGGGTTTCAAGTAGCAGCGTGATGGCCAGTTCGCCTTCAAGAGTCAGAGTAGGCAATGTGAGCGGCTCAGGAAAAGTAGTAATAGTTGCTTGAGATGTGAGTACGATCACTCGTTTTTAGCGAAGCATTTGCATCGCAGATCTACTCACAGTCTTCCGCACTCATTCCATCCAGTTCGCCTTCAATAATCTAACTAGGCGATAAGGGCGGCTTGAGAGTAGTAATAGTTGCTTGCGGCGGTGTATAGCCACTTCATTTCCCGTTTTTAAACCGCAAACGTTTTTTCATATTCCAGGATTTTCGACGAACCCGAAGACTTGGCTCCCCGTCAATCCTAACTACTGGTCGCACAACTTGGTCACAGAGAAGAAGAAGAACAGAAGCCACCTGAAAAATTATCAGAAGCTCCTGGCCTTGAAAGAATCGCCTGTCATACAGTTTGGCAACTTGAACGTTTACACACTATCCGATTGGGTGCTTGTCGTAACAAGGTAAGAATATGATGTGATTTTACCGGGAGCGCGGCGTGAACGATCGATTTATCGATCTCCCGATCTGTACTCTGGTGAAGAATCGATTATTAATGTGTTCGTTGCCAACATTCTGTCTATCGATCCTTTTCCATAGGTTTAAGTGGCAGATCAATAGATATATCGCAAAGCACGCTACACCACTGGATTTTACGAGTGGCGAGAGTACACCTCCTCCATGCATGGTGCAATAAAAGAGACACGTGATGTCCAATTGAATGGAGAGCGAAACTGATATTTTTCTCTCAACTGTTATGAGCACTCAGCTCGGAAAGAGAGAGCAACGGAAGTTTGCGATGACAGCAACCGTGGTCGATTTGAAGTAGGAGCTTGAGCGATAAAGTTCACGGCACGCTAGGTGTATGTGTGTAATCTCATGCGGAGAGGTGGCGCCTAGGCCTCATTATCTATTCGATGAGATAATAGAGATGCTGATGTAGATTTCAAGTGGAGAGTACGATGGATTTGATTTGATTTCAACCATGAAGTTTGGAGGTGTCACAATATCATGGCCTGAGGATTAAGATTAATTTATGACCAGTTGTGATAAAACATCGAGTGGACATGAATTCTATTCTGATAAAGGGTGCCTCCGACATTACTGCGTGTACTTTACGAAAGTTTTTTTCCGGGTAGGAAAGATAGGTATAAGGAAAAGGAAAAGAGAGGTGGGAAAATTTAGTTTCGAGGCATTTTTTCCGTTTTGTCAGATCAGAGTTAGTTTACGGGACAAATGGCCCCTCAATTTTTTTTCAAAAGAAGTAAAAATAATTTCTTGTTTGATATGAATTCTGAGGAATAATTTTGCCAGGTGATTTTGAACGGCAGTACTCGTTATGAAGAAAATGATGTTAAAGTAGGTATACACTAGGATATTTTGATGCAATTTACTGCATAAAAATATCGCATAACGCAGTCAAGAGGAACATTCTTAAGGATAAGTTATGGTGTGTTTAGAGAGGAAAGGGGGAAGGTGCTTTATCCTGGCTCACGAACCTTAAAATAATTTGGAGAACTGGAGAAGTATAACAGTATTTGATGATAATAAAAAAAAAAAAAAAAAAAAAAAAAAAAAAAAAAAAAAAACTGATGAAACTATCGCGCTCCTCTTATTTTTTTGACGCCACTGGCTGCTATATCGTGCGATTTTCAGGCTTCCTCGAGATGAAAAGGTCTTAAATGGAGCAGCCTGATTTTTCAACCCTTTTGGCGGTTTTTTTCGTAAAACAGGAGGTCTAAAATTCATAAAAGCTCTTGAAAGTGCCACAGGTGTATTATAGGGAGAAAGGGGTTTGGTCTAAAAACTGCAAAATCTATGATTTGCAATTTTTAGACGACTTTTCAAAAGATATTTTGTCTGTGCGCAATTTAAGCTCCGAAATTTCATGTATTCGTTTGTGAAAATTGGATAGTATACGTGCAAAAAGTTCAGCACAGTGAATTTATCTTGAAACCAACTACTCTGTCCTCTTCTCTATACTTTCTCCTCAGATAATGATTCAATCGGGGTGAAAAGATGAGTATTGTATGACTTTTTGTTTCACGCTGTACCTATTTTCGTTACAGGGCTCTGGAAGGACACCCAACTTATGTGGTCGTACTGAATATCGGCTCAGAAATAGAATATACGACAAAACTAAGCGCTGTCGCGAACCTCCCTGAACAACTCAAATTACATATCTGCAGTCTTAACTGTGGGTACACGCCTGGGTGAGTGCTAATTTATTTTATGTCTTTTAAAGTGCTTCACTGCGGTTCAATACACAGCCGTATAAAATGGCTGCGGGAGCTTTTATTCACTTACCTCTGCATAGAAAGGTCGTCATTTTTCAGATCAGGAGGGCTCTGATTGAGATCACGTGACTACAATTTGACCTCTCAAGGGCATCTATTTTTACCGCTGTAAACAATAGCGGTGTCTGGACGTCCCGAAATTTAATTAAATTCTTGCGCCGCCGGTCGAGTAACGGATCGTAACAGGGACTTATTTTTCACCACTAATAATTGAACCAGACAGGATTAGAATATGGGTACACCTCTACAGTGGTGTGTGTCCATTCACGACGTAATAATGGAACACTAGACAGGGTATACATGCATCTAAGCGTTCTGATATGGACGTAGTTCTACCAAACAGACCTATGTGGAAGTGAGAAATATGGGGTGTGCTCGTTAGTCTCTGGCCGTAAGAGTGAATGAGAATAATAAAGCGCCAGTGACGTCAGCGGCAATGAAAAAGCGGGGGTGAGACGTCGACGTCGTCGTTGGAGCTCTTTAACTCATGAGCCCTGTCCACAAGGCTCTATTGCCCTGCCCGCGGCTCATGAGTTCCGCACTCAGTTGCACATAGGTCTGTTTGATAGAATGCAATATCCCGCTTTGCCAATTCTTCAAAAGGAACCACGCCCACTTTTACATTGCTTCTTATGCAGATTTCTAGAGCACACCCCACATTTCTCATCGCCACATAGGTCTGTTTGATAGAAATACGTCCATATATGTTTCCAGTTTAAAGTTCACGCAGAACTCGATCCGAGCTAAATAATCAAACGTAGATTTGGCGTCTCTCGTGAGAAGGGTTGGTTCAAAGGTAAAAATAAATCGCAGAAAATTGCGGAAATTGACTCTATCTGTTTTCTTTGTGGAAACAGTGCTAGATTACCTAACGTTCAGACTATGGATCCCTTGAGCCCTCTAAGCGTCGACTAAAATTTTTTGAAGGGAAAATACATATATATCGGGTCCATGGTATTGATGGCCATACTGCGAAACCACTTATCTCTGTTTGCGACTTTGCAAACTTCCTGTTATGTTTTTTCCCCTTAACGAAACTGGTCAACGCAATTTCTCGAGCACTTCTTGATTTTTTTCTCTGTTAGCAGAGATATCCTGCGACAATTTGTAGCTTTAAAATTGGCTTTTTCCTCTTCAAAAAAGTAAAATAGGATCGGAAATTTTAAAACACCGCAAATGTAGATACGTGGTTTTGCTCTACTGCCATTAATATATAATTTTGACTCATGCCAACGATATTCTAAACAAGTATTACATTCCATTACCTACAGAGGACGGATGCTTTTCGGCATAAGGTCTCATTACTAAAGGACGAAATCTGGATGAATCTATAAAAATTCATTTCAAACACATCAACAGTGTCATGATTATAAATCTACATGTATAATGTTATCAAAAGTATCAAGACCACTGCACAACGTGTTTAGAAATTGGATGTTTTTTTCATCTTGCAAACGCTGAATGGTCTCAGACAGCGCATCTCTGCATCGTCGCGATGTGTGTTTAACTTTAAAACCCGTTTTCATTTTCAGAGTTCAACTTCATACTGAGAAAATCCAGCTCCGACCTAAAGCGGGTATGGTCTTATCAACCCAGAAAGGTGTTCAAGCTAGCAGAGAAGCCGATGAGTCAAGTTCAGAACTTCAAATGGAATAATTGTCCTAGTGATAGCGCGAGGATGCGCATTAAGTATCATGGGTCAACAGCTCTAGCAAAACAAGAAAAGAAAAAAAAGAAGAAAAATAATGGACAAGATGTATATTGATATTTCCATTTTAGATCACGCGATGGATTAGAATGTAACAAATGTATGGTTGACTAATTTTCAAATCATCCATAATCAATGGAGTAGCATATATTCTTGACCACGAAAAGTCGGTAAAATATCACGCAGTAATACTATTCATTACACATGCCTCGCTTAAGAATTTTAGAAAAGACCAGTTCATATATCATAGGAAAGAAATTAATCCTGGAAGGATTATTTTTTTGTAGAACTTCGTCTTAATGCTTCATTGCAGTGCTATTTTGATGCGAAATATGAAGCGCCTTCAAAATGAAAGAACGCAATTTCGTACACCCGTCTGAATTCACCAGTGTTTATTCTGCATCTAGATTCGGGCGCCACGTAAAGACTCAAGTTAATACTCTTTCATGACAGAATGGGTTATTGTTCTATCAACTACAGTTAATTAAAATTTAAACTCATGAATGAGGCTGAAAAAATTTCACTCTCTAACAGTTCTGTTCCGAAAATTGCGGTGCGCCTCATGCATTCATACCCTTAAACAACAATTTTTTGTAACAGTAAACTTTTTCGTAAATCGTAATACTAATCTCATCTATTCAAGTTGAGATTCGGTAAAAAAAATTCATTTTGAAGTATTCTTAATTTTGCAATACAATCTTTCTACATAATATATGTCGTTCATCTCAATATGGTATATACACTGTGAATAGAATCTTATTAACGTAAGTAATGCATGTATCTTCAAGGCAATGTGCAGATAAATGTTTTAAGGCACTACAGTACAAAGAAATTCCAGGGAAATGAAGAGGTAAGAGTGAGAGGGACTTAAGTGCAATTACACTTAATGACTTTATTTGATAATGCATTAATTTAAAATGTCACCACGTGGAAAAAAATGCATTAATTTTCTTCAGAATGAATGCAGATTTTCTTTTGAAATTCTGTGTGAATTTTCTTTGTGATGTGGCGAAAATGTCATACAATTTTGGAAACAGTTCACATCCGTAAAAAAATTAAGTTGTCAGGTAAAACTTGGAAACATTGTGATGCATAAGCCCCTCTAGTTCTCAATCTTTGTAATAACAAAGTCAGGTATTAGAAAAAGAAGCTAACGTCAGTTTTGTTGATATTTTTCTTCTATTTTTTCTTTTTTAAGTCGAATGAAACGACCATCGTGAGGAAGTAAGTCTATTTGTTTAACTTTAAGAGTTTTAAGCTTCATCTCTGTGGGATCAGCCCAGGAACGCGGACACAAAATCATGACAGTGATAAGTTCGATTAGTATATGGCTCATAACGAACATCGGCTCTAGCTGCTTAGATTGCATGCCCCTGTGTCGAGCCTAAAAATTTCTAGGTGAAAATGCCGGGAAAAACTGGAAAAAACACCAGGAAAAACTGCGCGGATTCGAACAGAACTTGCACAGTACGAGAAACACGATGGATGACACAACCGGTGCATACTTCACGACTCAGCACTGAGGTAGTCCGTCCTTTCCGGCATTGAATTCGGAAACGCAGAGGCGGATCCAGCAATTTGGCAACACCGGATTCTCTCCATTTAAACCTATGTAAAATAATCGATTTTTGTCGGAGCACCTGGTTCATCCAAGAATATTTACATTTCCATAGGTTAATATGGAGAAAAGACAATGTTGCCAATTTGCTGAATCCGCCACGTTACCGCCACTGTGGCGGATTCAGCAAACTAAATCCGCCACGTTACCAGTAACAAAGCGTCCGAAGTCAATGACGCCACAAATGGCACACTTGTTAATAAATTGTCCATTTTTTGTCCTAAGAATTAGGATAGGAAGAGGATTTCAAAAAGATCTCAGGAAAGTATTTTTGATTAATTTCGTTTCAAGTTATGCCAGTCCTTAGGATGTGACCTGTTTTTTTTTCTGTAATATAAGTTTATTTATTTTTTGTTGTAAGCTATGCACTGTGATACGAAGAGTGAGTGCAGAGTTGACGGAATCATTTTAGTTTCATTTCACTGCAAAATTCTTATTTCATTGGATTGGAGACAAGCGCCTAAAGTTCAAGCTCTCAAAATGGAGAAATTTCGACCCTCGTGCAAATTCAAATCAACGGGTCCTTTTTAAAAGTACAATGCTTTCCGTTCCGTAATTCATAATCATCCACAGTCACATGAAAATGGCTTGGTACTCTCCTGTTATCAGAGTTTCCCCTTTGTCGCAGAAAAAAAATCCTTTAAGGAATTTTGAACTTAGTGAAAATTGTTCATACAAGCGCGGCACTTGCAGTGATTCGAAGTTAAAATGTTTTCAAACTACCACCCGAATCCATGAATTCAATCTTCGTTCGTTAAGCTTTAAGTATAAATTATTTTAGTTATTAAAATGTATTAATTTATTGTATTACATTAAGTCAAACTTTAATTATTTTTGTCGCAGATACAGGGAATAGGAAATGGCACAAGAAGGCAAATGACCAAAACAGGTAATTTAAGAGATTCCGTGCATAAATGACCCAAATTGATTTTTTCTTAACGTTCTTGATTTAGACCCTTCTTGATTTTGTTCCGAGAGAGACAGATATGAAACAAAAACATCAAATGAATTACATTTTGCAATAAGGAACTACTATTTGTAGCCCATTTTAGAGACATTATACATGCCATTGGTTTCCCTATGCATATATGTGCTTTCATAGGAGAACCAGAGATAGTGATCTTCCTTATTGCAAAATGTAATCCAAAAATATCAACACCGTTGATGCTACCGTAAAAAAGGAAATAACCTTAATTCTCATTTTAAAAGATTTATCATGCATTTAATTGCACTCTCAAAGAATATTATTATTCATTGTAATTTTCTTATTGATGTATATGTTTTACTGAAAACTTTTTTCCACGAAAAATGTGATACTCCTTCTAGTATCATTTCATTTGTAATCAAAGCTATAAATATTGGATATCTGAAGTAAGGCGAACGCCGCTCAAATGAGGGACAATAAACTTAAATATTACCAAGAACAATACATACTTATATCAAGTAAGGGAAATTGTTAAACCAAGCATCACGTTATAAAAGCTTGAATTGGCGCTGTCCTATTCCGAGCGTATATTCCGTATCCTTCAAAGTTAATGACTAAAAATACTACAAATTACATGGATCTGATTCAAATTGTATATACTTGTTTCATTTTGAAGTTGTGAAAAAGACATTCATTCAGTGTTAGCATTGGCTTGATTTTCCATGCCATGACAAATAAAATAGGAAGCGTGGTTTCATAACAAGCTTGGAAGTCGAGAAAAACTCACTCTCGTTAAAATCGTTACTTGATTAAGTTCCACTGATCTACAACAAGACTTTCAGTTTCGCAAATAATTGAAAATACAATGTACATACAGTGTATACTCCAATCTTAGTTAGTCAATGAAAAGAGTAAGGTTCTCCGGATATGATTTTCCTAACATCAGATATGACTTTACAAAATCAGAACTTAAGAGCCACCAGATCATCAGTGGCGATTGAAGCCACCTTTGTTGAACTAAGTATTTCTTATTTATTCGACCTACTATTTAGTTTCTGAAATGGCCGCTAGCCGCGTGATATAATAGTAACAAATTCATATAATGGATTTTAGCATTAAGATCATGTTTCCTTCTTTTTATTATTTATTTTCTGTGAAATTTTCTATTCCGTAATAATTTACTTTCAGCATAGGAACAACGTAACTAAAATGCGTACGTATCAAAAAGAGCCTAAGTACAACACAATTTGACTTACATGTGTAGAAATAAATAATTTTCAACAGACAATTTCAAATTTTATCAGAAATAATATTTTTTTGAAATTGAACGAAGTTTCGTGTATAAGTAAAATTGTAAGGAAAGAAAAAAATCGAAATCTTCACTTTAATTCTGCTTATAAAAAGCTATTGAATGCAAAGGATTCACTTATAATTAATGTAAATCTTTTGATAAAATTAAAAGATTGATATAGTTTTGAATTTTATTTTATTCATTTATTTATTCATTTGATCGCATTTTTCTGTCATTTTTGTTTTAGGTTTCGTCCGTCTTTATTTGTTGTAGTATTAGAATAAAATAAGAAAGTTTCTTGCATATTGTTCGTGCCTTTACTCATTCAACTCCATTGTTAAACTAACATCGATAGTGAACAAAGTATATCAGGTATCTCGATTGCGGTATTTCAAAATGACCATTACTATAAAATTGCTTTGAAAAGTAGAATGATAACTGGCCATACTGCTTGACTTACTTTTCGGTCCATAGGTAACCGAAGTTTTTGGTAATTGGAATCTGAGAGATGCCCTCCTGTTTCTCATGAAAAAGTCCTAGTTCCAATCATAGGCAGAGATTGATTAGTTTACTTATGCAGTGGCGAGGCGTGAATGATCGATTATCGATATTTCCCCATTTGAAGCTAGGGTAAAGAATCGATTGTTAAGGTGTTCGTAGCAAAAACCCTGTTTATCGATCCTTTTCCATAGGTTTAGATGGCAGATCATCGGTATATCGCAAAGCACGCCACGCCACTGCACTCATGCAAAAGTTGGAGGTCTGGACGGAACTAGTGCCTCATGTCACATATTCATTGAAATACTGAAAATCGGTAGGTGTGCACTGTTATGTGGATAACGGATTATGTAAATCAGGCAACAGTATCTGCATATGGTATCCGAATCAAAATCACTGTTCGTTGTTTCACTTGATGACTCATTGAGCCTCTTTTTAACCTGATGACAACGAATCATTAGAAAAAACAACAGACTTGTCTGTTTGGAAAAGGGCGAACGTAGAACGGGTTATTTCGAAAAGGAGACAAGTCCATTTTTCATATGAGCCCCACAACGCTAGCGTCCATACGCAGCTAACGGCTCTTCTGAAAAATCGACTAGAAATCTTTAGAAACACCCCGTTCAAATGAAATGTTTGTTTGTTTTTCCGACCGCAGTAAACTCAAGCACATTGTTTGACACGAGGGCGGTGCAATTAACATGTTTAATAATTGAGATAAAATTGAGTGTTTACATCATGCCGATAATTTTTCGCTTTTAATAATACGACTAAAGTTTCCATTTTCATCGCGAATACACATTTTTACCGACTTAAATAAGTCTGCTAGAAAGCATGTGCTCCTCTTCATAAAATGAGTCACCCTCATTGAAAAAGGATGAAGTGAGGGGAAAATTCTACCGACATGCGCCAATCAAATATCAGCCATTTTTCAAGTGTCTTGTGTCGATGTGATTATTATATTGTAAAATAAATTTTAATTTGCGACCTACATGAAAAGCCAATACTTTGTAAACAATCTAGGTATGACGCAATCGTACATTTGTTTCTTCTTATAATTAGATCACTCGCAGTATTATACGCAGTAATACCGTTTAAGATATTGACGGCTAATGTGCAAAACTAAATATGTAACTTCATTGCGATCAGGCTCGGACTGGCCATAAGGGCAATCTGCCATTGGCAAAAGCACCCCCATGCCGAAGCGCCGAAAACGTGCCCCTAACAGATAGCAAAATGAGAAGAGAAATACAATTACGACGGAGAATATATCCGGAAAATTTCTCAAATGAACGGAAAAGTGAGAGTTAGGAGTAAAGAAAGGTGCTTTTATGCATGATAGTGGTGAACAGAGGTCCAAGAACTACTTTCTGAGGCGTAAACAATTTTCTGTGAAATGTTCACCTTTTTGTTGACATTCAGACGCTTTATTGTTCCCCTCCTTCATTTGCTATGTGTGACTCCTTTAGAAGCGATGGTCGATTCGATTTTTAGACATACGCATCCTTTATAGACCTCTTGAGAGACCTTTAAACATATTTCTTCCTTTTCAAAAGGACTATTGATTAGGACATACCATAGCATATCTCGGGCAAACTTAACCTTCATTTATCTCGAAATTCAAAAATTTGAGACATCTAAAGTGCGTAGAGGTGATACAACAATTCGCGCGAGATGGATTTCCACATTGAATATGAAAAATGTAAGATACGATGGCGTGAGTCGTGAACTCGCAATGCTCTGCTGCATATGCTGCTATAGTTTGAAGCACCATTACGAATAAGACAAACGCAAACACACACAATATGGAAATAAAGCGAGGGAAAGGATGCGCGTTAACGACGGCGCAGAGATACAACTATTCTTACTTGATTGACGTCCGTGCTGCATCTGAAAAATTGATGACGCGAAGCGTGATCTCTCAATGCTCTGCCACATATCGACGGTGAAACTACCAAACCACGTATCTCGTTTGCGGTGTTTGAAAATCTACGCTCACATTTTATTTTTTTGAAGTAGACCAAATCAATATCATTCCTTGAAATTTTCTCGGAATTTTCTCCGCACAAAGAGGAAAAATCACAGAAATTTTCAAGACTGGATGTTAAGTAGTTTTTCATTTAAAAAATAAAGTATGACAGGAAGTCTGCGACGTCGCAAACCGAGATACGTGGTTTGGTAGTTTCACCGTCGATATGTATAATATGCTGTCAATGTGTCGCTCTGGTTCGGGAGAAAAGCTGGAAAAGAGGCCCGAACACATCTCTCCTACCTTCGGCTGTGTTACACACGTAGTGCTTGAAGCACAATTACAAATAAGACAAACGGAAACAAACACAACATGGAAATAGGGGAAGGGAACGGATGCGCGTTTACGACGGCGCAGAGATACAACTATTCGTACTTGATGGACGTCCATGCTGCATCTGAAAAACTGAAGGCGTGATGTCGCGAAGCGTGACTGCTATATGCTGTCAATGAGGTGTGGCTCAGATTCGGGAGAAAAGTAAAAAAAGAGGCCCGAATACGTCTTTCCTGTCTCCGGCTGTGTTGCTTTTCATTCTTTCTTCTTTTTTCAGGTTCTTGTCTGATTCTTTCTTAGGATAGATTTGCAGATCCACGTCTTCAGCTCGTATGAACCGCAGCACTGCCTCGGTTCTTTTGGAAATGATGGTGCTTGGAGGTGTCTAGTGACTTTAATTTTTTATGTTTTCTTTAATTTCAGAAGTCTGTTGGTTACTTCAATACATTATTTGCAATTATTACCGGGTCGATTAATAAACTTTGAATCTAAAAATGACGTAAACTTGTGCTGCTTTGCCAAAATTTTCTGAACTCCACTCCACGGAGGGTAAATGCCCTACCAGGAAATATCACATTACGCCCCTTTAACCAGGCAAGGGTCTACGCTCTCAGATGTGAGCTAGTCCGACCCTGATTGCGATGTTTCAAAATTTCAGGTACCGATTTATTTTTTGAGGAGAAACAACCTAACTTCATTGGGCAGATTAGAATTTTAGGCAGAACATTTTGCTAAAAGAGTAGAAAATTTAGGGAAGTTTTAAAGAAATTACGGTAACTAAAATTCCAAAGAAAAATGTAAGTCACTGTTAAAAATCAATGATTTACTCTGAGTGAATAGCCGGCGTGACAAAAAAATCCAGCGCGAATTTCGCGCCGCACTCTGAGTAAATGGATCAGAGCGTGAGAATCACCAACGTTGAGTAACAGGTGGTCAAAATAGGAACTGATTGTGAGTAAGCGTGAATTTCGCGCCGGGATTTTTAAAAGTGTATGGCTGGAAGTTTTCAACGTCGCAAACGAAGATACGTGATTTTATACTTTAGCTTTCAATAAATGGTACATTATTGGCCAAAAGTCAAAAGTTTAATTGTATTAAACGCAGTATAAACTTCAAAACGAAACCAGATTTTATTGCGATGCAGCAGTTTGCACTGTTAGGACTGTTGACTCATCATGCGAGTCTTTAAAATTTAATTAATTTTACAAAATAACTATTTATTTGAGTAAAAATTTGGTATCCCTGCCTAATATTAGAAAAGAGATATTGATTTTTAAAAATTGGAAATTACTTATCTGTAACTTACTTACTTACTTATCTATTAAAATAGAAGCATCGTCGGTCAGGATTACAAAAATGAGCTGCGTTAAATAGACGGAGTAAGAATTAAAGTATAAAAACAATTGTTTTTCTATAAAAAATTGACTCAGAACATGTTGAACCTATTGACTGTCATAGAGAAAAAAAGGAGGTGTTTGCATCTTGAGGATTGTTTACCCCGTGACGAATAGGTCGGTACAACATAGCATCGATATTCCAGCAAAATCCGGAATTCGAAGTATGAAAAATGGACCATGACGTCCGATTATGGGTATCACTCTTTTGGTCTTTTTTCTCATGGTACTTCAAAATTTTTAAGAAATAAATCAGCACTCCGACAAAATAATTTCATCAGAATATACACTAAAATAACTTTAAAGCCCGCATCTGACTCAATCAGACTTTGGTTTAATTCGAGCGGGAAGTTTGAATACAGTATTCAAATTCAAAGTAAATCAATGAAGTATATATAACGCTGCTTATCCTATTTTGAATAAAAGCAAGAAACTGTTAATGTGTCCATCGTTTTTTACGTCATAGACGGATCCAGACATTTCTAACCGGAGGGGCGGAAGAGAGGATAGGGTCTGGCGGCCTTCCTCCAGAAAATTTTCGAAATTTTAAAGCATCCAATTTTTACTTTGATTCAATTTCGTCATGAACCATTACCACCTGCAATCGTTCTTTTTCCTCCTTTCCTCCACTCCTTTCTCCTTTCTTTCTTTTTCCTTCCTCCTTTTTTTTGAGTCAATGGGAGGTGCGTACGCCCCCTATAACCCTCCTTGAATCCACTTATGTACCTATGTCATTTTAATTTTTCCATCGGCTATGATGAATTCAGAACCACACTCCCTTCCCATCACGCCTTTGCTACGAATGGTCGAAGAATATCATACTTACTGTATTCATAAGAGGAGATTGGGACCACTTTAGATTCTTAACCCGCGCAAAATTATTCACCTTCGTTCGCAATGCCCCCGCCTACCATCTTAAGTGACCCTCGATCACACCATCTTTCTTTATCGGTTTAACACTCTCTGAGCAGACTCGCAAACTTCTAGCGAGGCA